CCACTGCTGCAATACTACTAATAATAACCAGCTTGCTGTCTTCATCAGTCATGTTTTTGGTTCGTTGCTGTTGAGAAGAATCTGTTGCTATCTGTACCATTTCAGCCCTGCACACAGGACAGTAATCCTAACAGTGACCCGCTGACGGTGGGATGTCAGTAAATTCAAATAAAGTGGATACATTTATAATAAATTACAAAAACAGACATTGGGGTGGTTGGGTGTGAACTTCCTGGACTTTCTAGTCAAATAATATTTTTGCTGTATAGAAGAGAGTACTGGGTCAGCTACGCATTACGTCTGCAGGAGCTCCTCGATCATGGAGCCATGAAGCTCTCGGTGACAGTTTTTGTGCTGATGTTAATGCCAGAGGTGGTTTGGACCTCTGCAGCAAAGCGTTGGAGACTTTTACGCACTCTGCGCTTCAGCACTCAGTGACCTCGCTCTGTAACTATGTTGCTAATTTGTGATAATGCCGCTTATGGACTGAGGACCAGGAGGGAAGAAACTCCAAAGACTGACCTGTAACAGTTACAGGACTACGCTTGCATTCAGAGAGCTCTTTAGAACGAGCCGTTCTGTCAGATAGTTGTAAGAGAACGGCTCGTAGTTTTGTGATATGTGTAGCTTTTTCTTCTTGTCGAGCTCTAAAGTCCGGTATTTGTGTGTCTTACCAGACAAAGGAGAGGTGTTTGTGTGGGGCTATGGCATCCTTGGAAAAGGCCCCAAACTGTCAGAGTCTTCGACCCCAGAGATGATTCCCCCGACACTGTTTGGACGGTCTGAGTTTAACCCCTCAGGTGTTGTGTCCAGGATCAGGTGTGGCCTCAGCCATTTTGCTGCAGTGACAGGTATGCGCACAGAAAAGACACAAACTCTCCACGTCAAATCAGCATCACATCTTGACCTGCACAGTGATGCTTCTTTAAAATATTCCTGCTTTATTGCTCAGATTTCTGCTTTTTTTTTTTGAGCCCGGATAAGAAATGGAAGAATAAAACTCGCAGTGCAGTCGTTGCAGTCTCAGGTGCTTAAAAAGAGGCGGACGTGTCCGCTGGGGGAACAGTTTATCGCTGAGTCAGGTGATGTTGGCCTCAGCGTTTATGGCGCTGAAATGAAAAAGTCTGTCTCGTCTTGTTTTTGTCGCTGAAACACTGGACTGGAAACATCTCTTTTGTCAGGTTTTATTAGTCCGAGGCTGGGGCTGTAACCAGCCAACGGCACTAAAACTTCAGACTGAGTTGTTCTCGTTTCCTAAAAGCATTCATTGTTTTTTGGAGTTTAGTGAGTAAAAGGGTAACTTGAAGTTATTGTAGGGAGGACCAACTGCATGTGTGAAAAGAGACGTTAAGACTCAGTGTGTTACTGACTTCCTTTGGTGTATTAGAGGCTACAGGTGACGTCTTCCTCTTCTGGAGTTTTCACAAACCATCCAGAGGTCTGAATGCTTTGGATAAATTCTCCAAAACTGACCGAAGTGCTCGCTAAGAACTAGTAACTGCCTTTTAATTAATTCAGGGCCCGTTACGCTCTGATTTCAGCTCTACCTTTGGTGCTTCAGTTCATCTTCTGGTTCAAACATTCTGATCGGATGCGTTTGAAGAGTAGGTGGAAAGGGCCTGAACTGTGTAGCTGAGACGAGCACATTCAGGGTGTCCACGGTTCATTAGCTGAAGTTGAATATCAAGGATATGTTTGGGAGTTGTGTTATTTTAAGTGACAAACCTCTTTCTCATCTGTGGATATTGTATCATCGGTGGCTTGTGTGTAACCTTTTAATGTAGTTTTTCTATCTTGAAGCATTGGCAGTGCAGATATCGTTGGTGTTCGTGTTTATGTCTTCTTTGCAGTTGCTGCTACGTTGCTGGGGTTTTTTTTTGTTTTTTTTACTGGGAAGCAATGCAGGAATCTGCATCATCAACCATGTGCACAAAGCAGTGATGCATTTGTAGAACTATTAGTGCTCAAAGAGACTATTCCAAAAAATGTAATTTACTGCAGCTAGTCCAAAAATGCTGCAGCACGGCTCCTAACTGGGACACGCAAGCGGGATCACATATCTCCCATACTTGCATCATTGCATTGGCTACCAGTCAGCTTTCGAATTGATTTTAAAATTTTAACACTTGTTTTTAAGACGTTACATGGCCAAGCCCTTATATATCTTGCTGATCTCCTAACCCGGTATTCTCCCACAAGATCCTTGAGGTCTGCCGACCAAATGCTTTTGGTTGTCCCAAGGTCGAGGTTAAAACACAGAGGAGACCGGGCATTTGCCGTGACTGCTCCTAAATTATGGAACTCATTGCCCTTGCATATCAGGACCTCTCCAACACTGGAGACTTTCAGAACCCGTCTAAAGACCCACTTTTACTCTCTGGCTTTTAAATCAAGATGAGTCTGTTTCTATTGTTCTTTCCATGATTCTATTTTTTCTTAATCTATATTCTATTTTATTTGGTATGTCTTTATTATTGTACAGTACTTTGGTCAACAACTGTTGTTTTTAAAAGTGCTATATAAATGAATAAACTTGAAACTTGTTATTACATTACTGCTCCATGCTTCATCCTTCTAATCTGTGGTCACAGCTTACTGATATTTATTTTATTATTATTTATTTAAATGTCTGCTTCTCAGATCGGGGTGAGCTCTTCGTGTGGGGGAAGAATGTGAGGGGTTGTTTGGGCATCGGGAAGAAAGACGACCAGTACTTCCCGTGGCGGGTAAGACACTGATTCAGTATTAGTCATCCAAACAAAAAGAAAACCATGCAGCTGAGCGTCTATTTTTGACCCACTTCTTCTTCCTTTGGATCAAAATAAATGCTTTTTCCATATACTTGTGTCATCTGTATTCTGGGGAAAATTTTGTGTGCTTTAAGTAGAAAAAAGTACGGTTGTCTGTGTGTGAAGGTGTTATAAAATATTCGCTACCTGTATGTGCCCTGTTGAGATTTTCAATTTATGTCTGCAGACTTCTATCAGCACGTCCTCTCAAGACATTTTAACAGGATTGTGTAGAGCTCACACTTCTTGTCAGTGTTGCACATTGTGAAATCCTGGGTCACGTACAAAAGAAAGAACATAAATAAATCTTCTGTCCTCGCTGTATGTGCAGTAAAAGCACAGAAACTGCACGTCTTCCTTCCTTACTTCCTTCCATTTTATGTTGTTGTTGACTTCCTTCTTGTGGGTTCTTTTTTCACCTCAGGTGACTGTACCAGGCCAAGTGGTGGATGTAGCGTGTGGCGTTGACCACATGGTGGCGCTGGCGAAGTCCCTCCTGTGAGCCTCCTGTCCTCACCAGCGGTGGATTAAGCCTGGATGTTTGGGCCGAGGCCTCCCGCTGACCCCCGGCTGCCCCGGAGAGCCGACTGGAGGCTCGGTGTGGAGCCGCGAAGCCAGCTGCTCTCCACAGGCGGTGGACCCGGTCACGCGCTGACGTCAGCGGAGGGCAGAGCGGATGATTGCGCAGCAAACTTCCACTGACACTGCTCACTTTATTCTTTATTCTTAAGGTCATGTGGGAAAGACATCCAAGCCTCATTTTATCACAACTAGAGCTCAAACGAGTCGTCAGTTAATTGATTTTTCAGTGACGCTGTGGTGGGAAAAACGGTGAATCTTTCTGTGAAAATTTGCTGTTTTTAAGAATACACTGAACATATTTGGCTTCTGGACAAAATGAGACATTGGATGTGGTCACTGTGGACTAAAAACTGAACTTTTATAGACTAAACAGCTCTTCTGCACACAGAGTGATTATAAAAATAAACTTTAGCTGCTGCAGTATTCCTATTGTTTTGTCCCTGTCACTCGTGTTCTCACCAGCTTCGATGTGGTTCTAACTTTAATTTTTTCTCACGTGTGACTCATTTGCTGCCACACTGGAGAAACAACAGGAAAATGTGGCCGGTGAAGCGCGCCATCGACAGACTCGTACGGTTTGGGTTTATTTCAAACATTATGCAGCAGCGCTTTAAATCTCTGCGGCACGATAAAATATTTGTAAAACACTGCAGCTGTTGAAAAACCAATGACAGCAAAACAATCCACAGAAATGATTATCTCCCTGCCAACTGCAAATAGAGGTGAAGGCACTCAGCCCGAGGGAGAAAACAGGTTTCGAGGAATCAATTTTACAACCCGAGCTCCCGTGTCATCGGTCGCGCCCGCACGTTCTGCATACGCAAGCAGCGAAAATCTACAGCAACTACAATCGTGTCGCGCTGACAGGGTGAGAGGATGCTGATTGTAGGAGTGTTGGGGCTGAAAAGTGGCTGCTGATGGCTGTAAAATGAAATAAGAGGAACAATTTGCTTAGTTGTTTATGTTGTGTCTGCTTTTCCCGTGAAAATCACTGAATGGCAAAGAAGCGATTGGCTTTTTATATCCTAAATCAAAATAAATTCACTTTTAAATAAATGTACACATCAGTTTTTTGTTGATGTATTAGACTTAAAAAACCTCTTCATTTCTGATAACTTCTATGCAAATTTCTTCACAAAAACTCTTCATATTTTTCTCATGTATGAAATGTTACAGTGGTGGTTGCTCATAATAAAAGGCCAGAGTTTTAAATGATGCAGTCTGCATATGTGTAGAGCTTTCCTGGGAGCTTTTTTTCCTATTCTTAGAGGTCGTGGAGAGGCAGCGTTGTCATGCGGTTTATGGTTTGACCCTTCTTGACCACTGGGGCCTTTCTATGTAGAGTTTGCGTGTTCTTCCTGTCCCTGTGTGGGTTTCCTCTTGCAGACCGAACGCATGCTTCTTAGGACAATTGGCGATTCTAAAATTGACCAAAGTGTGGACGTGAGAGTAAGCGCTTGTCTTTTTGTTAGCCCTGTCTTTGTAAAAGGCTGGCAACCTGTTCAGGAAGCACCCCACCTCGTGTGTGACAGTTTTATTTGTATTTATATTGCGCCAAATCACAAGTAACAGTCACCTTAAGGCAGTTTATATTGTAAGGTAAAGACCCTACAATAATACAGTGGAAACTCCAACAATCATATGACCCCTCCCTATGAGCAAGCGCTTTGACGACAGTGGGAAGGGAAAACTCCCTTTTAATACGAAGAAACCTCCAGCAGAACCAGCCCTGGGGAACGGCAGCAGTCCGCCACGACAAGTTGGGGACAATGGGAGGAAGACATACAGCTGCTGCTGGGTAAATAATTCTGCATTAAAACCTATCTTGAGCCTACAGAGTGGCTGATGCTGCATTTATACTTTGGCTTGGTCTGGCTACATTGCTCTGCAATTTTGCTGCCTAAAGTTGGCAGACGAGTTCCTGTTTTTGGACTGTACTGAATGGATGCAACGTGTGGTTACATTTTTAGGAAGGTGCACGTCAGATGAAGTATCAGTTACAATAAGCTTAAATTTGAAGAAACAAATCCTGTTTGAGATTTGTGACACCAGTGCACTGCATGTCTTCCTTCACTACATCCACAAATCTTCTCTGACTTCCTCTTTTCCTCCTGCCTGGAAGTTTCATCATCACGATACGAGTCACAAATTGGATGCACTCACAACCTGCTCCTGAAACACACTTTTCAACATGTATGCAGTCTCCCCCATTTAACAATTCATCTATCATATAAACATGTAAGAGTCAGGATAATATTGAAGCTGAAACAGCTGCTTGTTTACTTATAAATGATAAATGCTGCCTTCCTTCCTACCTCACCCCCAGCTGATTGCTCCCCCCCCTCTCTGAGCCTGTTTCTCTTTGACGTTTCTTCCTGTTTTAAGGGAGTTCTTCCTTCACACAGTCGCCAAGTCCTTGCTCACAGGTGATCGTCTCATTGTTTGGGGTTCTTTCTAATATTGAAGGGTTTAAAAAGTATTATAATATAAAGGGCACTGTTGTAGTTATTTGGGACTATATAAATAAAATTGAATTGAACACATTTTAAAGGACTGTAATTCCAGCTAAAGGAGGCGGCGATTAATTGGTCCACCTCCAGTTTACATTGTAACATTTGTATCAAGTTTGAATCTGCAGAGCTAATAGTTAAAAGGTTTAATTGCTGGAATGTTGACTAATTTAAAAATAAATCTATTACTTAAAACATGACAGCAATAAAACCCCAGACTCATAAAGAATAACTGTGACTGTGGCTGTATTTCAAACACATGTTCTAGACTAAATTTTGTGTGTTAAAAATGTAATCAAAACAACTGGCAAACTGTGACTAATTTTAATCGTTGTGCAATCTTATCCGTTCACCTGACTATTAAATGGCACATCTTTGTTTTCTATACAGTGAAACAAACTTCGGTTTAGAAAACTGATGAATTGGTAGGAAAGAAAGACTTGTAAGAAATGAACCCATAAAATTAATTGTTACCTGATTCGATCAGACTCCTCACACGTGCTCTTTAAGCTGATTTTTAACCTCGACTCTAACTCGGGTTTCCTGATATCAACATGATGGACACGTTAATTCTCACAGAACACGGAGTATTGCTGAAGTCAGCCCGATGTGCACTGCTTTGCTTTGTTCTCTTTGCTGAGCTCTTGTATTCTGGGCCATTCATCATTATGACAACTTGACGGCCCTCTGAAGAGCCCGGAAATGTATTTACGCAAAATTACAGAGTGAGCATAAAACGTACGACCTGCGACCGTCTGCAGAGCAGGATTTGAGAACGTGCAGGAGAAGCTTTGGTTTGCGTGGCTGAAAGGAAAACTTCATTCACCACTTTTAATATCCCATTCAAATTATGAGATGAGTTGACCCATATCTGGCGTTCAGGAGGAGGCATTATTTCACAGATGCACCTGTGGAACAGTGAGAAGGGTCCGCATGATTATAGTCACAGTTGGTGACAGCATAATGGAGATTAACTTGGTCAATCCCAAACAAGTTTGCTTAGTCATGAACAATTTACCAGGTGCAGCACTAACGTCTGTGATGATGCTGAACCAAAACTATGTTTTTGTGTCTGGTTCTTTACCTTCTGAAAGCTGCACTGTGTTCTGCATATGCCCTTCAAGTCTAACCTCACCCTAACCAAATTTGAGGCTTCAAAAGACACATGACACTGTATATAATGAACCACATCCAGTCTTATGCATGATAACTAGATGCCAAAAACATCTCTGCAATTGAAAAAAGTACAGTGTGTGATTTGTTGGTCAATATTGCAGGGAAATGTAAAAGAAATGTTGGGTTTTATTACCCAGAAGCCCTGTAAGGTGACACCCGTGTGTGTGTTGTGATTCAAGTGCCCCGTAGGAAAATGTGTGGTGGTTGTTGCCATTACAGCCTGGTCTAGATGAAGCGCTGACTCACTGCTGTTAATGTGTCGCCCGTAAAGTTTAGATTTGTCATTTCTGTGGGTGGAGATTTCCCACCATGCGTCCTTGCAGCTCTGCACAATGAAAGTGATGCATTTCAATTAGCGGCACTGAGATGCCTCTCTGTTTGACTTATAGCTTGCAATTTTAATCTTTGTGAGTGGGAGCTGAGGAGCAAGCGTCTCCACCGCATGTCAGTGAACTGCCGTGCCGAGCAGCGTGAGATTATGTAAGGTGTAAAATGATCATGATAAGTGGAAACACTAACACGCTGTGTCTGCTCCTATAACCCCGCTCTGCAGAGAGGGTCTCTGCAGCTGGATGAGCTCTCCTCCCCTTCTGTGTGCTGAAGTAGAGGAGAGGAGGAGGTGGTGGTGGTGGTGTGGGGCCCACCCATGCAGAGCAACAAGGGCCTGGCTGTTCTCTGCTTTGTTTACTCAGGTCAGATAATACAGACAACTGGTATACCTGCAGTCTTCCCTGCTGTCAATTGCTGTCCATTTTCTGCAGGCTGGAGTGGAGCGTGGGCATTGTGGAAGAAAAAGCCCAGCAAGGAAGACAGAGACCAAGGGAAAGGTAGGGTGTGCACTAATGTGTTTTCTGTGTTTAAGTTCTAATTTAAATCAGATCATTCATCTATAGATCATTCATTATAGCACCTGTGTGGGCTAGCATCAAGTTCAAAGAATGGAAGAGTGGGGTGAGAGGAGAGCAATGCACTTTAAAAATAAAAAATAAAAAATAGATTTTAGCCACAGACTGTATATATAAGATGGATGTAGGTTTCCAGGTCTGAAAAGTAAAGCCAGTGAGGAAGTGCATTCTTTGAAATGGCCAGTAGGAGGCTCCCGTTGCAAAAAGAAGTCCATTTCTTATAGAAATCAGTGAGAAAACTGCCTTTGTTTTATAACTTTATAAACACTTATTAGTGTCAGTAATGTTGATCCACCTAAATAGCAGCTCATGATGAGGTTTTCCCTACACTGGCTCAGATTAGGCGGGAACACTTGAGCCTTGGGTTTATATCTTTGTTTTGTGTAGCTTAAGTCTCTCATGTGACCAGCAGCTAATGGCTCGTGATGAGCTGATAACAAACATTAGATGTAACCTGAAGACTGTACATAAAAGATGGAGATATTTGGCTTTGAACGGAATGCGTGCACCCTTCTGATGTCACAGCGGATGTTAGCTTTGTGCGCTACGTCATGTGTACAGCCTACGACACTGTGACCATTTGACAACCTGTAGGCTTTGGCACCTTTGAGCTGCCTACATGTGTAAGCCTGTAAAATCTTGCCATTTTTCCCTTCTCCGTATATTCTCCACAAAAGTGGGAATTTTCAGAGGAAATCTTCCAGTACTGCTACTCAAAATGGCACGTTTTGGTGTTTTGTTGTGGTCTGTAACCTTTTACTCTCTACATAGAGATTTAGGTGTTGGGCTATCTGTACTAGACTGACTTTTCTGACATCAGAAATTAGTTATAGAAGTGTGAAGCTAGAAGTAAGAATCCAAAGTGACTACATTTCATGCTCTGGGGGGCATAAATGTACAGGCATATTTCACAGAATCTGTCCTAACTTTCCTTCTTACAAAGAAGGAAAGAAAGAAAGTTTTACTTTTGAGAAAAGGGCTGAAACATTGCCAAAAACATTAAAAAAAACATCCCAAATTGTCTTCTCTGAAGACATTTTCTGAGATAGCAGATCATAAAGGATCATGGAGTTACAAAAACCATTATGACTCATAGTCTAGGATTATAATGATCTTCAGAGTTGCTGGAATAAATGTTCATTTTCAAATGCAAACTAACACCGATCTTTATTTTTTTAAATATATATTTATTAACCCTCAGAGTGTGTCACACCCCAGAGAGGGTTTGAAAATCGTCTTTTCACCAGTGGAAAACAAACCCCTGCTGGAGCGCTGTCGTAATGATGCAACAAAGACTGTTGATGAAAATCTCGATAGCATCACTGCTGCTGTTTGCGCTTGCCGGGTCATTGCAGGCACACGACTGACGTCTTTCACTTCTGGTCTGCACGATGTTTGTTTTTCAGATTACACGCAGCAGTGCCAGCGGTGCAAAAATAAAAGCTAGTGATTCTAGAAGCTACTGAATCATAGGAAGTACTTAGTTTTTCCACACATAAGAAGTTATAGTCATAACACATTGTTCCCTTTCAGTCTGGTCATTCTGTACAGCTCCTGCAGTAAGGGACATTTACACGCTCCCCATAGAGCAGCGTGGCAGACCCAGGAGAAAGGATCGAATTAACCACTGAAGGAGCCGTCGTGTCCAGCAGACTGAACCAAACAAAAGCATGCAGTGATGACCAACTACATGCATCATGAATATCCCTCACAGGAACCCCTTTATAAGGGGTCCATGAGATTACCATTCCCCTCGAGGAATATGCTCTGAAACCCTGAAGCAAAGAAAAACTGTTGGTGCTCTATGCTACCTGGTGACCTGCAGCAATGATTCTCGCCACTCACAGAAAGAGGGCACAAGCGTGCCACCGAGGTGAGCAGGCAGTCAGCTAACTTGTAGCACTGTAGGTGAGGCACCGTTAACCTCCCATGTGTCTGTGGAGAAAGACATCACCTGCCTGATCTGGTTTATGTGACCTGCAGACTGATGATTTGCAATTGTTTGAATGTAGATATTTTGTATTGATTTGCACAAGGAAATATGTACAGTCACACAGCTTGTTGGAAGCACTCTTATTGGAGCAGAACAATGACAAATGGCATGAAAGTCTCAGTTTGTCGTCAGAGCCTTTAATGCACCCAGACTTAACAGTTGCAATGAAGGAGCATTTGTGTATGCTGAACAAAACGTATGTGGATTAAGGCTTCTTCTTTCTAGGCATCTGGTCTCTGTGAAGGCCTGTAGCTGGACTCTGGTCCTGGTCAGCTAGTGTAGAACTTGACTTGGAGGCTCTCATCTCAATGACTGGAGCACACACCGCCAGAGATGGCACTGCTAGGTCCAGTTAGCTGCCTGGGGGAACCAACCAGTGACTAATTCTCTGCCAGGCACATCATCTGGTACATCTGCAGCCCAGTGACCGAGCTCATTGCATCTGCAGTTATCTGCCTGAGCCCTTTATCTCCAGCTAAGTTGCTTAAAATCTGCGGTGCTTGTCGGAAGTGCTGAGTGGCCATCTACTCCATGGTTGTGGAATGGCTCCACAGGCGGTGGGTTGTCTAAGCCAGCCTCCACTGTACTGTCTATGTGCTGTACAATGACATGGATAGACAGTGGTTTTGCTACATGAAGCCGTTAGCTCAAAGACCAAATCGGGGAAGATGGGCAGGTGGTTTTTGACCATTCTTCAACCTTTGTCGAAACTGGGATGCTAAACTTGGAGAGGAGTGTGTAATGCTGTGCAAAAGCCATCTTTGCCAGCATGGGGACATGTCGCATGTGCTTTGGGCTTAGTCAGCGCTCTCCTAGTGTGGATAATCCCATAGTTGTGGCAGCCCTCATGCTGGTCCTTATCATGCAAAGAGAAACTGCACCCCTGAGAGTTGAACACGCAATTTTAATCTTCATTTTAGTACTCATTAAAATGCAAATAAACAAATATTGCAATGAAGACAATTTGTCCCCTCTTGGCATTAGCTACCACCACTCAGTGACTAATGCTAACAGGGCAGTTAAGTTGGCAGATAAAAGAGTCAACTGCCACCAGCCAGCCTGACTCAGAGGTGAAGAGTGCAAGACCTGGGGGATGACTCAGCATGTCATCACGGATCTTTAGCATCGTCAAGTGGGGATGTGATATCCACTAATTTAATTCATCCATGGCTGCTACACTTCATACATTTTTGTGTTAAAAAAATGTGTCTCATTCACAGCTAAACTGGAGCTCTGAAGGCAAGATTGGGAGGCGACATCACTAGTTTATTGCTTCGAGTACACAGCCCCTCTGTCGGTAAGTAAATACAGTAAGATGACACATGGGTGAAAAGTGAACACGCAAGCAGCTCAAAAAACAGCTAGTTTATTTTTTTTTCATTTATTCCCCCCCCCCCAAAAGAAGCTTCAAAATGAAAGGCTTTCTCTTTGAAATGCAATCAGAAGAAATAACACCTTCCTCATGTTTTAACACTGATAAATACAGATTATCTACTAATCAAATGTGATCAGATGAGAGGCTGCAGATAGGTGGAAGGTGGTGTGAAGAGAAAACAAAAAGGAAGAAAAACATCATCACCAACGGTTAATACCAACAGAAATCGTTCCATGTGGACAAGATCTAGCTAAAGAAAAGAGCCCTCTCTGGGTTCACATCAGTACAGCAGGTCTGTGGGGGTGGGACCTGCATTAAAGTGCAGACTGGAGTAGGAGAGGGGCAGCTTCAAGACCAAAATGGACACCAGGGCTCGGAGTGTAACCTTCCTTCCCCTGTGTGAACCGTAGCTTATGTTAGCACACTTGCACTGACATTATTCTAGCTCATGGAAGTGGCTCAGTAATTTATTACTAGTGTCGATGCAAATCTTTTCAGCGTTTCTCACTCCAATGCACACTGTGAGCAACACGGTCACTGGAAAGTGTCGGCGTAATTGCTCTCAAACATGAGTTTTTGGCAGTACAAGGTTGGAAAACGGGTCATGCTGTTGGTACGATTGCCATCAAAAGCAACTATTTAGTAGTGAACGGTTTCTTTAAATGAGACAGATGCTCGTGGAGGAACTTCTGTTATTTTTACCGTGTTCAGTGTTGTTGGCTTATTTGAAGTATTGACAGGGTGGAGCTAGCCGCTCCCTCCTTTCCCCCCGCAGCCTCTACTTTCATACTTTTGAACACAGACCTGCATTGTAAAGTTAATGCATGGCGATGTGCTGGGATCATGAATCCACCTCAAAAGATTATTTTCGGGTTTTTTTTTTTTTTTTTTTTAAATCCATCAATCAAATCAATATCAGTTGGAGTTTCAGATATATTTCTGGGTACGAGGAAGATTGTAAAGGTAATTTGGAATTTTATGTGCCTGCTATAGATCTGCACTGAGTATTTTACTAAAGCTGGGCATACACTGTGCGATTTCTTTCAGTCGCGTTATTCAGCTTGCGCTCAAACTGTGCGACTGAATCGCAGAGGTTAGAAATTCATAGGTCAGGATGCTCTGACGTGACCTTTAGCTTGGTAACATGAAGATGTTAATCGCTTCTCAGGTATACTACACAATGTATGACACACGATTAAGGCTAAACTCAGGCCGATCCCCAAGACTGTCGCACGAGTGAAAAATAGTCTCAAAATGGGCCAAAAATCACACAGTGTATGCCCAGCTTTACACTTTTTAATGGCTATTTTTTGCATTTTTAAATTTGTATTCTTATTTTTTTTAATACAAACTAAACCAATTAAAATCAGTTTCTTCATGTCCACTGATTAATACTCACTCAGTTTGAAAGATGAGGAGGATAAGTGGAAGAGAATGGCTGGATGGAGTTTTTAATCAACACTTTTTGACCCTCACTCCATTAAAAAAAAGAAAAAAAGAAAAAGAGAAACCCACATTGATTCCAGCGTGCAATTTTTATGTTTTAAATTAGAACTGACACAATATGAACAAAGAGAAATAACAATTTAGAGCTAATTTAAAACCCTCATAAGACGGTACAGACTTAAATTTAATTTTGTGGCAAACTGAACCTAAATTTGGCACATAGTGGTTAGTGTGGGAGTGGTTGTAATGCTCACGTGATAGTGTTTCAGAGGTCTAATGAGGACCATGTTGACCATTTCAGGTAACAAATAGTGTGCAGAAGAGGCTGGTGGGAATGTCTCAAAATAAGAGACGTTTTGAACTGATTGTGACGCTGTGGGAGAAGTTATTAAGAATACGTCAACTGGGAACTTTGTTTTCTATATCCTATCCAAAATCAAATAAGAAATCAACAACCTCTCACAAAAATGACGCCTATCAGCCAAATCGCTGAAAATAATCAAATCTACGGATCCTGATTGGCCCGTCGATCATCTTGCTCACAGTGTGCATGGATGTAACTTATTAAATGCACAAAAACAATGATTCACTTCACGTTTTGCCAGACTGATTTTAAGTCTGGGGGACTTCAATAGTCAGATCGATGATTAAAAACATGTTCAACGACGACTAAAAAGCAAAAACAAGCGCCAACGCTGGCTGTCTCCTTCAATTGCACATGTGCAGTATTTTAGACAAAGGCATCGGTTTAGGCATTCATACATGTTGGCACTGAGAAAAATGACCTGTGGAAAAACAAAGCAAACAAAAAAGGAGAATTTGATAACTATATATAATAATTATTTTGCTTTGAGAGTACATTCGTCATCTTTCCATGAGAGGAATTATGTAACTAATACAGTAGGGTGCTCAGGAGGGTCAGGGAGTGGGAAGAAGCAGCTTTAGAGAAGAAAAGAGACAGTTTGGTAAACTAACGCAAAAACTACCAGAGCGTGGAGGTGGAGGGGACTTGGGCACGAAGGAAGGCAAAGAGTAGTTGGGGGGGTAAAGAAAATGCTTGAGTAACAAAGGCTTCCCTAACACACTGTCTCCCTCCGTCCTTCCTTTCAGAGTTGACCCACAGTAGTCCGCTAGCAAGCTCTTGGCACTTTTTGGACATGATAAACTTTTAAACAAAATGACTTTGGAGATGGTAGTCGTCATCGCTTTCTCCAGCTTCCTTCACTGTGCAGCACTCTCAGTCCGCAGTGCGCCAATGACACTTTGGATGTTTTCTTCAGGAACCTGAAGAAGACGCAAAGTAACTGATTAGAACTTTCTGATTGTGTTTTCATTTGTTTTTGATGGCCCCAAAAACATCTGAAAAAGCTGAAAGTTTCTCTCCAGCTGCTTAGAGCCGATGCTGATGCCATAAACTGTATATAAAAGATGGACGTAGTTGCTACGATCAGTGCCTAGTGTCTTCTTAAAGCCTCAAGTTGAAGGTTTTCTGGAAGTGAAAAGCAAGAACTAAAAATCTTGACTTGAAACTAGTGAATTAAGTCAATAAGAGAGTTTACTGGAGTCAAAGCCATTTTCCCAAAGACTTCTATACAAATTAGACAAGCGACCCCCTGTTGGCCACTGGAAAGAATGCAAGTTTAAAAACACCTTTGCACTGGCTTCACTCTACAGACCCAGATGTGCTATGCATGTCCATCTTTTCTATACAGTCTATCATGGTGTCATGAACTTAGACTAACCAAACAGCCCAACAATTACAAACAAGTTGATTACAAACCAAACATATGCAGTAGAAACTGTTTCTTACCAGGGCGTGGTCAAACTTGAAGGTGCTAATGTAGTAAGCTGGAATGTCAGCCGTCGCCAGCGGTTCTGATATCTGAGCCACGATGCCGCACTCATCTGCAGACCATTAAAAACACACTCTTTAACCTCTCGACAGGCCCCACAACCACTCTACAACTCATTAAAGCATGTTGATAAATACAATACACATTAATCATGATAACACTTATTATCCTGATTATTATCCTCTTGTGAAATTCTGGCTTTTTTTTTGTCTGCTAAGGCTTCACTTAGCCTGATTATTGATGCTCAGGTAAGCTGTTATATGAAGGTAGTTATCAACTAACATAAGCCTCTAACCAAACAGAAAAATGAGAAGGTCTACCGACTTTACAAAGGAAAACTATAAAACAACACAGCTGCTGCAGATTTGTCTCAGCAGTCTGAGTGTGTCTGGGAGGAAAACTATAGGATTACACTCACATATTTGGTCAGCAATAATAAAATTTCATTTATTTGAAGCCAGGAAGGAAAGCCGACAAAAATACAAATAACTGTAAGTTCACAGACTTCTCAGTATCGCAGCTTTATGCACGGGGGGAATCTGACAGATTATTACTACTCCATGAAATTTCAGGTGTGTGTAAGACAGGTGCAGTTTTGTACTTTCACCTGCTGCCCTGGTGTTTAATGGTCTCACAGCAAAAAAGAAATGAATACAAAAAATATAATTTAAACATAGGTTTAACCTACAAGTACAAATAGGTGTCTTGTTTTAGGATCATACATTAAAGGCAACAGGAAAAAGTTCCTGGAAATAGTCTTTTTTTATTGTCTGTTTAGGGTTAGATAAAGACTTTAGATCTTCCAGGAACAGTGACACAGTTTTCAGTGGTGGTTTCATACCTGTTAATCTTTTATCTCAGGTATAACCTGCAGTTAGTATGGCAATCTACCCTGGTAAAAAGTGAACCACCTTTTTAATGCTAAAGACTGTTAACTACACACTGGGATGGTTGTTAAACCAGTTCTGACAACGTTGATCTTGATACTTGAACATGTGCTTTGTTGGCATCAATCTGTAGTAGCATGTGGCCTGCTTCTATCCATTACTACAGCAACAAAAATACTCACCAAATCCTAAAGGTTGCCCTCCAATTCGAACCATTTTCCAAAGCTCACCAGAGGCACTGGTAAAAAGTACATTGTTTGGAAACCTGGAAGAAAAAAAAAAACAGAACAATTATATTAGCTTCAGTATTTATTAAAATACAATTGTACCACATAAAGGCTGGTTAAGTTACTCACTTATGCAACACAAGTGTGATCATACAATTTCTATATTTCTGAATTGTTACCAATAATAAGACATAAACACGGTATTAAATCATTCAGTTCCAGTATTTCATTAACTCTGTCATCTTTAAATGTTTTCCAAGAGTGGCTTTATTTGACCTTTTTTTGCTTTACTTAACAAATTATGGCACCAGGCATGGTTAGCAGATAAAGGTGCATCAGAAGAAGCCACTAGCCACTCAGCACAGTGCAAAAACAGCTAAAGTCTGTTTCTGCTGTGCACCCTGCTGCACTGAAGAAAAGAGCCATTGTAAGGCAGAGTAATTTGGGTGACCCATCCCTTTAAGGCAACACATTCGGTCTTACATAAAACGTAGGGACATTGCTGACCTACATGCTGCAGAAACAAAATCTAAACTTAACAATTCAAGTTCACTCCAGTTGTTATTTTACTTCCACATGGATTGAAGATGTTACTAACCAATATAATGCAGACCTTTTTTTATTCATTGGCAGCCTTTGATCAGATGCTAACACAGGAGAAACCATGTGGGACCTGCAGCTGCTCAAGTTCCTTGATGGCCCTCCTGCTTAATTAGTGTACACTATTAGAAACTAAGGGAGTAGATGAGTCAGACTGAAACCCACTGTGACTTATGTGCAATACACCCGATAGCTCTGCTTATTGCCTAACAACAAACTAATCACCACCTCAAACAACAATCAGAAACGCACTCCCCTGCATGAATACAAGCTGTCCTTTTAGTGGGGATTAACAGACAACAAAACCTTGAAAGAACAAGTGTAGTTAATTACACAACAGCAGTGCACATGAAATGTTGAGTGGTGGGTGTTTTTCTTCTACCTTTGTGTGGTCTGTTCATCCATGACCAGAGAGATGTAGCCCTCGATCAGGGAGAAGGAGAAGAAGCGGATGTGGTTTGAGTCTTCACTGGATGCTCCAGACTCTTTTTGCCTGGCAAAGACAAAAACAATACAGTTTTTGATTGGACCTGTGACACTTTGATTAATTTCCAGTTAACTTTTACACCTTTCTTTTGGCTGCAACAAGCACGCACCGCTTTGCAGACTGTCAAGTGTGTGTCCTCTTACACAGGAGGGAAATAAAAAGGGTCTTAAAGGTCAGAGTGTGAATGGATGACAAGGGAACTCGAAACGGTCCTCAACTCTCTGTGTTGCCTAACAGCTTGAGTAGGTAGATTGGTTTCTGTTTGAAGAACTCAGGGTTTTCCATTTAAAAAAAAGGAAGATTTTGAAGTCCGTGCCTGTGTGCAATGTTGTCCTTGGGTTCCCTAACAATGCTAACAGTGAGAGTTGATAGAACTGCTATCTGTTAAACAATGTACACACTGGAAGCGATTCGCTCGAATGTGTCCATCAGAGACCATAGAAAGTGGAAGACATTTGACATCTTCAAGCAACTACAGCTAGAGACATTAAGTGGGCGGGGCCTGTGATAAAGGCCCTTCAGTCGAGCGGCGAAAAATCACTAAATGTCCAAAGTGTGGAATATCCAATCTGGGTCAGTGAGGAGTTGCTGCCCCAAGTATGGGAATCTGAGTACCTCTCGATCTTGTTTCTAAAGAGGAAAACAAATCCTATATTTTCTTGCTTTTTTAAAAAACTTTATGGCATATTCCATTTGAAATCGGAAGCTAGAATTTCAACTTGATTGCTCTGTCAAGCTGGACTTTCAACTCAGAGAAGCCACACCAACACTGATTTAATAATCAGAGATGGTGGCAGTGCAACAACGTGGACCGGGACTTCCTTTTTTCCCCCCCTTTAGTTTATAGAGCTATTTCACAGCAGGTGTTTTGACTGTCAAAAGCCAGAAAATAAGAAAATGCCCATTGGAAGTGCTGTAATTTACATTTCTAAAGTATCCTAGTGAGCCATTTCAGTGAACGAACACAAAACACCTTGGAAGGCCTTAAAATTGCCTCATTTAAGTGGAATAAAGCAGTCATTGTTAATGCCTGCTTTGACAGGACCAAAAAGGTCTCTAATTATACATATAGGTAAAGAAAACAACCCTCAAATTATGCAGACTAACACACAATGGATGGAATCATTTTACACTATTCTCTCATTATTGTGTGGGGTTAGTCTTACGCTCTGGTGCTGCACTTACACGAAGATGATTAATGTGTGAAAAATATAAAAGATGAAAGAAGGGTTCAAATTGATGCATCACAGGTCAACACATTCTGACACCGAGCCTCATGTGTGGGCTGAGCTCCAGAACATTTTCCCAAAATGCCACCATTTAGCATCTCCTAATTTTTCCTTCCTTGTCTAGGAAATGAAAGTGAAAATAGTCTTCTATTCTCGAGAAAATAAGCTTTCCTGAATTTTATACCCATATAATTCAAGGCAGTAAAGATAATTTTTCAGACTTGACAAGGCTCCAGCAGAAGACATCAGATAACTTTAGATTAACTTAGATAATTAGATAACAAAAAAACTGAATACTACTTTCCACTGTGGCCAGACTTCTCTTAATGAGCTAAATTTCTGTTTTATCCCTTTTAGGTAACATCCTACATTTGATTAATAGACTATAAAGAGATGCTGTCCTAATGTTCTCAGTGATTGAGTGGAATCCTGGCAACATGCAAAACATGCAAAAGGCCTTCAGGGCCTAAATGAAGTAATAAAATGTTTTACCCTCCAGAGTAAAACATGACGTCCATGAGCAGAGTGGCCACAGAGGGCAGTGTGTCTGGGTCCAGGCTGGTCACACAGAACATGTTGCTGGGACTGGATAAGGGGTGAATGATAGGACGGGGCACTGAAAAAGATAATACATGAGGGCTTAGGAGGCTTCTTAATAAAAGACTACATGGCAATACATTTTCTGATCATCCTTTTTCCATTCATCTGAGCTTAGACTTCCCTTGTCTGTGCTGGGTGAAAAAGTGAGCTTGAAAACTGCATTTGCCAACATTAAGAAGGAGCTTTCAAGCTCAGCTTGTACACCAACAGGAACAAAACACAAATTGTATGAACAGCAATAAAGACTGTGTGCTGTGTAATTGAAAGCACCACAGTGCACTTAAGTGGAGCTTTAGTGGAGATTATCCAACAGCCGTTTCTACAATCATAAATAAACCTTTAAACATTAAGGTTAATTAGACACAATTTGATGTATATGTTTGCACATTTTATATTTCAACAATGCTGAAAAAGTTTACGCATTTATTTATTTATAAACTTAAAATGTAAGCCTCTCACCCGTAATAAAAACAAATCCACAACAAATGTATTATTATTTCAGGGCTGAGAAACAAGCATAATTACATTTTAATCCCATTTTATAGATTTTATATCCCATTTCCTGTAGTGGAAACATTTAAATTTTCTTTTAATCCAGGACTAGTCTTAAAGGGGGCCAGATTATATTATATTACATACATGCTGTTCCAGTCGTTGATGCTCATATTAAATACTGTAAATGTGGGCCACAAGGACAGGCTTCAGCGTGCAGTAAACACTTAACCACTGAGCCACTGAGAGCGGATGTTAATATGGTGATCTGTGGGTGTGAGCACAGAAGCCCCACCCACCTGCTGTTTTAACATTCTGTGCACGAGGGGCAGCCAATCGAAAGAAAGTGGTCTCAAAGGGAGAAAGAACGGAGTTATAATGGCTTGAATGAACCGAGGTTGTACTATATAAGGTTTGTTTTAAAGAGATACTTTAATAAATTCCAAGAAGAAAATATGGAGCTGGAAATTAACATACTGGGTTCACTTTAATGTCTGTGAAACAGCACAAATCAATATGCAGAGATTATTACGTTGAAGAAACAAGTCTGAAAACATTTTGTAAGTGCTTTGCAAAACCCATTTCCGATTACAGAGATCTCAGTATCAATACACTACCGTCCAATCGCATTGCAGATTGAATTTGTGCAGATGTAATCTCAAAACCACACAGTGGCGACAATTTGGCTTTTTAAAAATGGATCCGTGTTAATAAACAATGACCAGTAACCTGGACGTCTTGGCCCAAGTATTGGCCATGGACCCCCTCAAGTTGGCAGAAATATTGAAATGTCAGTCCACATTAAAGGCTGTTAAAGGCAGGGTGGAAGCATTAAGCTTTTCTCTAGACAGAAATGTTGAATTATTTTGTTAACTCTTACCTAGTTTTGGTTTCACAAAGCCATTGGTCACCCCCAGATTGTGAGCAGCAACAGTCTCCCCGTTGACCACTCGAAACAAAGTGAATTCGGAAGACAGAGTGTGCATGACCATCGGGAGGTCTCGCTCTCGAACCTGAGGACGGCAACATGAACGAGTTCAGAGGTCAAGAGTAAATGCTGAATATGTAACAGGGAAGAAATGTCGATGAATTTTCAGAGAAATCGTTTGATGGGAAATCCCACTCTTATTCTCCTAGCCCGAGCTTTTTTCTAATGAAATGCTTTCATTTATTTTCAGTGTGCCCACTCTCTTGCTTGCCTAATCTACATTTGCTTTTAATGACTTCCTACAAAATGGCTTTTGATAATGAGCAGAAAATGGGATTGGGCTGTTCATATTCAGCCAGATTTATATGTTCTGAGGAGGAGCAGAGAAGACAGTAAAGCTGCATTCTTTGCTTTAAACACAGCCTTTAGTTCTGAGTATTAGCATGGGTGGACAAAATGGAACATGGATCTTTGCCTCTTATGCCAACCATGCCGTCATTGTTGAAGGTTTGTTTACAGCCGCATGCAGCTAATCGACAGCTTCACCCTTAGGCCACCAGCGTACCGAGAGTACAATCCTGCATCATTAGGGCTGAGCAATATGTCAAAGCAGGTTTATTTGTTGAGCTCTTTTCATACACGAAGGTAAACATGTGCAACATAAAGCAAAGGAGCATACAACGGTTAGAATTGGAAAACAAAGCAAATTGAAACGCAAACAGACCAAGAAAGACATGAAAAGCGAGAACTGGCCATGAGCCAATGCATTTAAGATGATTATTGTTACAGTCTAATCAGATCATCATGATATGACTCACTCAAATGCATTTTGCATTTTTTGGTCCTTGTGTAATTGCATTAAGAGTGGGGTTCACGAGCATGTGGCTTTGATATGTATTGTGGAGAATTAGAAGATTAAGTTGAAAGGGTCAAGAAGACCTCGGGGAGCCAGAACTTTTCACAGCAAATTTCAAGGAAATTAGTTTTCCAGATTTCTTAGAAACTAATTGCTGACAGCAGGGGTAGAGAAAAAGCCACCAAAATTATTATGGTAATGAAGCAATTAATATTTATATTTCTTTAACTTTGCTGTCTCTAATTAAAACGAAGCTGATCTCTGTTTAAGGTGGGAAGGGTGGCGGCACGAATTTAATTGGCGTATTAGCTGTCGCTCTTGTAATTGTTGCTCCTGAGAAGCTGGTGTGTGTGGCAGATCTGAGCAGACTGACTCAGTCAGGATGCTTGTTGCTCTGTTGAAATGGGTGTATTCAACATTTGGGTCAAGCTTTACCGCTTTATGTAACAAAAGATCATAGCAGTGAAAAAAATAAAACATCTTAAGCTGGTTTGTCTTCTGGCCTGCTGAGGGATTCAGTAATGCAATGAAACACAGAGTGAAATGAAGGTAGATGATGGCTTGTGGGTGTGGATAACAAGGTCAGTGTTGGACGTTTTCTTTACCTCTTTTCATCTTATATACCAACAATTAGGACAGTGGGAAGGAGCCTGTGTCGAGACAGGAAGCATGCCCCGAGTATGATACCTTAAATTCCAGCAAGAGGCTGATCTGCTGATCCCCTTTATGTAACAGATTATCAACATCAGCACAGGTTTTTTTTTTTTTTCCCCCATTTTCATGAACATGCTGAAGCTGGTCAGCAGGCCTTGTTTTTCCATTAATGCAAGGCAATAAAAAAAGAAAGGAAAAAAGACTCCCTGTAGCCAAAAAGGCATGAGAAAGGATTTCATCCTAAATCAAAAGAAGTGGGGCCGTGCAAGGTACACTATATCCAAGGTTATTGCTTTTTCATATCAGGCACTGTAGATGTAAACAACTGTGCTGCCAGGAGTTGCATAAAAGACAAATAATGCAACACACCGAGCATGCTAAGAAGCAGATCAACTGTTGGCTCATAACACACAATCATCTTTACTAAACAGAACTGAAAAAGAAACTGCACTTTCAGTTCACTCTGACAGACGGGGGGGGCTGTGTGAGGTCAAGTGCTGTCATGATACCTGAAGCACAGTCTGGATTCATATCAATTAAAATGCATCCCAGTGGTTCCCACTGAGCATGCAAATAAGCAGCGGAGAGGCGGCTGTCACTGCAGCAGTTGCTAGTGCTGTTTTTCTACTTATCGCCATTAAAATACCTGTGAGATCAGAGGATGGTACTACAAACAGTTTACTTCTGATTTAGCTCAGCATGTGATGGAGTGATGGCCTGTTCAGTGTATACAGCTGTGTATTGCCTCTCATCCAACAACTATATACAAAAGATGGGCTACCATGATGTCATGGGTTTGTAAAGTCCCACTTTAAAGTCTCAACTTGGACTTGGCATCACCATCTTGGTTCTTGATTTCTGTTCAATTTTATTTATTAGGCGCCAAGTCACAGCAAAACTCTGCTCAAGGCGCTTTAAAATGTAAGGTAAACCTCTACACTACTGCAGAGAGAACCAGACCACCTTCTATTAACAGTCACTTGTTGACAGTGGGAAGAAAAAACTCCCTTTTAACAGGAAGAAACCTCCGGAAGAATCAGGCTCAGGAAGGGGAGGCTGCTGCAACCAGTGGGGAGTGAGGGGGAGGGAGACAGGACAAAAGATAGTGTGGAAGAATGAAGGGAAGATCTAATTGTGAAACTGACAGAAGCCTCACCCCAAAAACATATTGTCTATTGTACTCTACATGAAACCATAGTGCAAAACTAGTTTCGAGGTCATAAATTGTTGTGCAAAATGCCCCCTGCTGGTTATTAGAAAGGATATTTAAGGGGCTTCTGTGCCAACCTTTCTCAGAGACTACACCCATTTTTTAATCCTATGGTATTGGTTGATGTCAACTGGGATGGCTCCAGCCCCTCGAGCCGTGTGTCGAGTCATTTTTTTGAGAGCGTCACGTGGCTGTCGAGACCCACACCATTCACACACAGAACCTTGACATGAACAATATTCACACTCACCAGGATGAAGTCCGTCTGATACGTCGACAGCATGAAAACAGAAATGTTGTGGTCGGCCAGTGGTGCGATGACTGATTTAGCGATTTTGGTGACTCCTATGGGTTGTGAAGTGGATGTGTTGCTACCTCCTGACACCACGTTAAGGGCCACCCACGTGGCATCGGCAACGCTGATGTGCTCCGACTGGGGCAGCTCTGGAAATGAAATCAGAAACAGTTGGGAGTGGAGCTGGTACAGTTGTTTGGCTGTCACAAAATTTAATGGTTAAGATTTGAGACAGATTGTTTCATAGAGGCAGCAACACAGATGGATGGATTTAATCTTTACCAACAACCTCTTTGGAATAAAAAGAAAACAAGCTGGGTATCAGTAGTTTTCATCTGCACTCATTTCTTTCTTTTTTTGATCTGTAATGTACTCACTTTTGCATAATAAATACAGTTTTATTTCTGACTGAATAGGAATATGATACTTTTAACAGCTTTGAGGTAAGGTCACAGAGCAAAAGCATTAAATATTAGACCAGCATTTCCCTTTCTGAGTCATTCGTGAGTCAGATTTGTGCCTTGATGACTCTCTTTGTCTTCTTGAGCCATTATAACTCTGAGCTTTAACGTTTATCATTATCCTGTCACTGGTGCCTGTAGCTGTCTAATGACTTCAACACAGAGAAGCCACGGTTGTGTTTACACCAGTGACTGGGATAAAATAATGAACCCCGCAGGTAAGAACCACAGACTGTGTAAATAAGACGTCAATGCACTAAAGCATCCTCTATTTAACTCTGAATCTGCTCATAGTTGTTAAAGAAAACTTAAGACTACCACTATCTCGACACAAAGTGTTTAATGCAGTCATAGCACAAGTGAGAAGTAGGGTCATTTTCTCATGGAGAAAGAAGAGCTGGACTTCTTTCTAATGGCCATTAGGGGGCAACACATCTGGTAAAAAGAAGAGCTGGCTTTATTTTTTAAACCCAGAATCAATATAAACCTTTTAGAAATACTTTATTAATCCCAAAGGAAATAAGGCTAATAAAGCATAACTTTTAGTTGCTAGGTGAGTTCCGATTCAAGTAAAAAAGAGAACAGGGCTCACCTGGCAATGATACTCCCATGAGTGAAATGTCCAATTACTGTGAGGGACTGTGTATAAAAATGGCTGCAATTTTTAAACTGTTATGTAATACTTTTGTTGAACCCCTCAAATAAAAGCTGAAAGTCTAGACTTAAACCACATGTTGGTGGTTTGATTTAAAAGCTACTGTGACGGTGAAAAGAGGCAAAGTTACCAAAACTGCATCCATGTCCAAATATAATTTACAACATACAAAGTATGATCTACCCAAGACATGTGGACTGAACTGAGTTGTGCACTCATGGGCTAATTAGGGACTAATTGTCCATAATCAACATGCATACGGATATATAGTATGCATCTTCTTGGGGGTTTCCAGTGTGATTTAATTTCACAATGTAGTTCAGTTCAATATAAGAAAGACAATAACCCACAGAGCCAGCCACCAGTAGAAAATACCTGCACCAGTTACGCAACAAATAGCCTGTAGTCTCCAGGGTAACTAAGGAGGGTCACCCTGGAGAAGGGTGTGTAATGACATGGATTCACTCACTCAGCCAACACAGCGAGCAGCAGCTTGGCCTCACATCTATAATGACAAAGTGTGCTCAAACAGTGTCAGCTGAAGCCGCGCGGTGGTGGTGAGAATCATAGATTACACAATGCGACCTTCTCTTGCCGCCTGGTCTCTGGTTGCCACAGTGACTTCAAAGATTAGTATCCACAAAGCGAGGCCCACCTTTAAATCCTTCCTCGTCGACGATGATGGTATAGTCCTCTGGAGTCTCTGTCAAACTGAAAAACTTGCATCTAAATTGGAGGGAAAAGAAAAGGGAGAGCAGATCAAACAGTGGAGAATATATGTAGAAAGTTTAAAAATAATCTTAATAATGTCTCACTGTTTCTCCTTCCTCACACTATAAACACACACATCATGTGGAATTAACCTATAGACTGTACAAAGATGATGGTAGTGCTTCTGGGTATAAAATAAGTGCAGACGGGTATTAAAGTCAGTAAACACAGAAAAATCTGTCTCGAACTGAGCGTTTGGCACAATCTAATCACAAATGCTTATGTGATTATTTGAAACTTTGACCATGTTTAATTTGACCATCCACCATCATTACAAAAAAATAAGGAAAAAAAATTATATTAAGTCCCCTTTAAATAAACACCCACAAGGACGAATGCATGTCTTCATCATCTTCTATTGAATATGAGGCTCACAAACCCAGTGATTAATAAAGTGCTGGGCAGCTTTACCCCTCTCCAACAGACAAAGGCAAATTTTTCTTTGACAGGAATCTCTGTGATCCAGAGATGTTTTTAAATGCACAAAATATACTGAGGCTATGAGCTCAAAACATCTATAGCTGACAGAAATCCCATTTAGCTTAAAAACCTTATCTGTAAGTACGTTTTAGGCCATACATATACATCTTTGGTATAAGTGTTTGGAATTAAAATCATTTCATTTTAGCTTTGGTTTATCCGTCTAAGAGTTTGGTTTCTTTAACAGTGAGAATTAAAGTCTCGTAAAGGCCAGTGTAGCTGTAGATTCACACAAACATTTACTGGAAATTATATAAAGAATCTTTGGTCACTATGCGATTAAAAGAAGTGAATTTGCTGACTGACCACCTCTACACAGACCACAAGCCAGCTGACGTTTGTGTCTTGGACTTATAATTTACCTGACTTACTGCAACTTGCAATGACCTCATGAAAAACTTGCACAAGCATAATTTCAGCACAACAACAGTGGAGACAAAGTCTTAAAAGCAAGTTGTGCCACTGAGCTGAGTCTTGATAATGATCTGAGTAGCTATTTTCCAAGAAATCCTCAGTCATATCTGATTTAAACACTTAAAATGTTTGGCTACTGCCTAAAAACAGATTTGGAAAAGCTTTTTCTCCCCCACACACGCAGAGCTCAGTGCCCTCAGGGTCAACGTGTCTGACTCATCCCACCAGAGCACTGGGCAAATGCCATGCTAATTCATATTATGGATGCAGCATGAAATGGACCAGCTTTTATTGTTTAGCACTTTTCTAATCTTATTTGACCACTCAGAGTGCTCTTCACTATAAGCCACATTTACCTTTTTCACACATAATCATACATCACGGTACTGCACTTAAGCACTTTGCAGCCTCACCTACGGCAAAATTCCAATCATCAGTTAACCAAACATACATGTGTTTGGACAGTAGGAGGACGTCAAAGAACCCGGAGAGACCTCACACAGCCTGGAACATGCACACTCCACACAGGAAGGCTCCAGCCAACCAGGAGGTTTGATCTTGCTGTGAAGAAACAGTACTAACTGCTGCTCTACCAATCTCCGAGGAGATATGCACATAGTCAAACTGTTGTGAACTTGAGATTTGCACTTGTTTGAGCGCTCATATATTTCCGATTTGTCTGTTGATAAGCCCATCTGGGCAGGGGCGTTACAGAAAAATCCCACCTACATTTCTATTTGTATTTTGATTCTTTTTGACTGCCTCGTTTCTGCATCATCATGTGCCTTGTTGAGGTAAATGGCATATAGAAGTGACAGATTATTAACAACTCAGTGTTCCTCATCAAATTTTGTTAAGAGGACACTTTTGAAAACCACTAGTCAGATCTGACCACATCTGCCTCTTGACATTCAGATCATCGCATTTAAACTGTTCTCAGATGGTAAAAGATGTTAGAGACAAAAGTGTGCCCCAAAGATTTTACAACAAATGGAAAACGGTGCAGTAGGAAAAACAACACACACAACGCTCCTCTGATAATCACATTCTTTACACACCAGCTACTGAAAGCTCACACTTCATATTGGCTGAAAGGTGTGAATAATGACAAGAGAATAACAGAAAGGCTCTCAGAGGGAACAGCAGGATTTCCTCCTGGCATTAAATGAGCTGTCAACTGTCCCTTTGACTTGCAGGGTGTTTTGCAGAGCGAGAACATTAGAATGATGTGCACTGAAGGCTTTTCTTGTGGCAACACACCTAATCAATGACTTACTTCAGTCTTTGACATTGTTCCATCTAGATCAGCTGCACAGATTTACTGTGCTACTCCCGACTGTGGGGGTGATCTCTGAATATTCAGCCTTCATTACTCACATTCTGTGTGCCTGCGAGGAACTTCACAGGGAGCCTTTAAATGAGTTTATGCTGTCAACCACTGCACTGCAAATGTGTTTGTAAAAACTCAGGGCACATATTAATGGAATTACGCTGATATATGATCTGCATAAAGTCATACATCATTTTATTTAGGAGTTGGAGAGGAATTGAAAGAATGTACAGAATAAGAGTTTAAATAAGGAGAATATCTCCATATCTTTACATCACCAATGTTCATATTTAGGGCTGGTTATTGACCGAATCGATGTCAGTGGCACTAGAAGTCAGAATCAAACATCTAATCTGGATCTAAGGTTTGTTTAGTCTTTGACAAGATATTTCCTTTTTTCTTAACTTAAGACAGTGGCTTCACTTACATTACAGAGTATATATAAAAGGTGGATGTAGCTACAGAGATGTCAAACCAGACGTGTATTTCCTACACAATTAGTCTGTATTTGTGGTGAAAACTGTCACACGGGACTGGGGTGCATGAAACAAGACATGCCGATAAATTTAATATTTTCCACTCTAATAATAATAATAATAATGAACTCTCTACATAGTGGAGGAACTATCAGTTAGTGAGCTCAAACTTCAAGGTCTTGAAGTCCAGTGAGAGACAGCAGTCCTGTTCCGCAGCCTTGGTGAGCTCATCGTATTGACACATGAACCACTTCTCCATCTGCTGCAGGTTCTGGTTAGAATGACCCTCCAGCACTCGCAGCCATCGTCACACCAGAACAAACATGCAAGCTGGAGTCCAAGACTGTGGAGTTGGAGTCTGCTCAGGCACAAGATTAGGGTCTCTGGGGATTGACTCAACAGTGATCTGAATAGCCCACCCAGAGGAAACAGGAGTCAGAACAGGCCAGAGATGGCTAATTAGCAGTGACTGAACTTTGAAAATCTGAACGAGGGGATTGTTTCATGTAAAAACAGATAGCTTCTGTGATGAAAATAAAAAAATACATGGCTTGGGTGGCTGGAAATATATCTGGGTGTCGGTGTGTATCTGGAATACAGTTCACTTTGTCTCAGTATCTTTTGAGGTGCTTACAAAGCACAATGAGGTCAACAATTTCATGCATTTTGTGGCTTAAATAGAGAAGTGGTGACACACTGGCCTTCCACATATTTGTAAGCTACTAAAAGCAACGTTGATGAAGATCTGTGCTGGGGGGGTGTATGCCCGAGTCCTTAAAATGCAGGGATCAAACATGCTTGTTCACGGTATGAATCGCCCAGTGTTAAGCCACCCTATGTGTGAGAAACACTGGACTCTGCAAAAGGCAAGTCCGCCCTCCTTTATCATCCCAATTTGAGTATCTCCATCCAATCTGAACCAGGGCCATAATATACAGCATAAGCATCATGCTGTATTCAGTAAGAGTGGGAAGTAGTTATTGAGACCATAAACTCATCAGGAAAGAGTTTACTGAGGTCATGAATCAAGGGAAAGTGTTGTCTTCTAGTAGACTTCTATACAGGTGGAGTTCTTTCTGCAATCGATCTGCTGACCAGAAGAAAGAATGAATAATTAATGCACTTCTGCCTTGGTTCTACTCTTCCATCTTTTATATACAGTCTGTGGTTTATAGATATTTTAAAAATTTTATTGAACTCCTACCAATTGAAGACTTCAGGTGAAACATTTGCCAGGGATGTGAACGGTGTGATAAGCATTCGTCCTTTTCACCAGCTATCTATTTTTTTTTTTTATTATGTTTGTTTAGCTCCGTGTTTGCAATCATTATATTGCTCTTCATTCAAAGGCAGGCTGTCAAATTTAGAAAGAGAAGCCGCCAATATTCTTACACATTTACATTCAGCTGGAACGCGAGCCCAGAAAGGATTATTTAACATGGTAAAATTATTCTTCCGGCTGCTTCATGAAGGGGTTGCATCTCCTTATTCTGTCAGTGTCGTCTGATTGGAGTGTTCATAAGAAGCATTTTTAATCCTGCCTAAAACTAGAAAAGACAGTATTGGCTCCATATAAACACAGAGACACTATATCCAAAGACATGGCAGTCTATGAATCCTGCATAGAAATCTGTTGTAGAATAATGAAATGCTAAAGATGACAGCTGCCTTCCTCCTGCCTTTAAGAGCCAATCAACGGCTGAACCCATCCATCCATCCATCCATCTTCATCCGCTTTATCTGAGGTCGGGTCGCGAGGGCAGCAGCCTAAGCAAAGAGGCCCAGACCTCCCTCTCCCCAGCCACCTCCTCCAGCTTATCCGGGGGAATACCAAGGCATTCCCAGGCCAGCTGATGTCCCTCCTCCCGGTGGGACATGCCTGGAACACCTCACCCAGGAGGCGCCCAGGGGGCATCCTTGTCAGATGCCCGAACCACCTCAGCTGGCTCCTTTCGATGTGGAGCAGCAGCTGCTCTACTCTGAGCCCCTCCCGGATGGCCGAACTTCTCACCCTATCTCTAAGCGAGAGGCCAGCCACCCTTCAGAGGAAGCTCATTTCTGCCGCTTGTATCCGTGATCTTCTTCTTTCGGTCACTACCCACAGCTCGTGGCCATAGGTGAGGGTAGGGACGTAGATCGACCGGTAAATTGAGAGCTTCGCTTTTACACTCAGCTCCCTCTTCACCAGTCAACAGCTGAACCAAGAAACATATTAAGCAATCAAGTTGAGTACACAGTAATGGTTCACAACTGTC